GGGGGGGGGGGGGGGCCCGCGGGGCGGCCGGGGGGGGGGGGGGGGGGGGGGGGGGGGAGCCGTACCATTTCTAGGCTGGGGGTCTCTTTGCAGACCGGCTGAGGCTCTTCCTGGCCCATCCCAGAGCAGGCTGTGCCCCTCACCCGCACATCGTCCACCAGGATGGCTCGCTCGGGGATGGTGAAGCCGAATTCCTGCCGGTACCTGGGTGGGAGGGCAGGCTCAGCATTGAGACCCCCTCTGGCTCCCCAGAGGGAGCAGAAACCCCGCAAGCCCAGTTCCCCGGGGGGGGGGGGGGAGGAGGGGCACCACTGACCTATTGGCAAAGGCTGTGCCAAAGTCTCCGTGGCTGCAGGAGCCGGCGTGGGCCGGGTAACCCCTGGCCGAGCACATGAGGGCGCAGTCTGTCCGCTCGTAGCGCAGGTGCAGGAAGGCCTCGGTGGTGATCTGGGACCTGGGGGCAGAGGGGGGGCTTCACCTCTTCCGCTCTGCATGCCAAAGCCCCCTCCCGCCCCTCCCGCCTCTCGGGCCCCACCTGGCAAAGCCCTGGGCCTCCAAGGCGCGCACACACGTCTCCTCCAGGGCAGCCGTCCGACGGTCCAGCTGGGCGAAGGAGGCTGCCTCGTAGACCAGCGAGCACGGCTCCTGGGCCTCGTGGACGATGTCCGCCAGGGCCATCCCGTAGGCCGACAAGACCCCACTGTGCCTGTGGGGGAGGGGGAGACCCTGCAGAACAACAGGCAAAAACCCCTCCCCTCTTTTGACCGGGGCATCCGCCAGGGCCCACGCCCCGCACAGGAGGGCAACGCTGACCAAGACCCCCTTCCGTGGAACAGGGGCACCTGTGGGGCACCACCCCGTGCTGGCAGGAGAGGCCTGCTTGGCAAACGCAGCCCCAGGCAGCAGCAGGCCTTCCGGGGAAGCCTCTTCCCTCACCGCACGGCCCCAGGAACCTACTTGTGGATGAAGACAGTGCTCATGCCCAGCGCCCGGGCGATGGCACAGGCGTGCTGGCCCCCGGCCCCTCCGAAGCAGGCCAGGACGTGGCGAGAGGTGTCATGGCCCCGGGCCTAACGGGAGAAGGGAGGGAGGGACAGCACCGTTGGGGCAGGCCCACTCTGAGGCGATTGGGGGGCAGGCCCAGCCACCCGCAGCCCCTGGCCTGCTTGGGGGTCGCTAGTTCCCAGCGCTCTCTGGCTCCCAGGGTGGAGAGCTGTTGCTCAAAGGGGCCCCCTCTGCCCACCCTGGTCATGGCCTCCGTCTGGGGCCCCTGCTGTGAGGGGCCCCCTGGAGGGGTCCGGCAGGGGCCTTTCTGGGGGCCCAGATCAAGGACGCAGCCGATGAGGAGCGGTACCTGCGTCAGCGCCCGAATGGGCCTGCACATGGCTTCGTTGGCCACCTGGATGAAGCCCATGGCCACCTCCTCAAGGCTGAGGTCGGGCCGGGCTTCCCCAGAGGCCTTCACTTCGGCCACCAGTGCCTGGAAGGCCTGCAGGGAAGCCTGGAGCGAGAGCGGCTGCTTCTCGTCAGGCCCAAAAATGTGAGGGAAGTGGCTGGGCAGAAGGCGGCCCAGGCAGAGGTTGGCGTCCGTCACAGTGAGCGGCCCCCCTGCGAGAGAGGAAGACGGTGCCCATCACTGATCTGCTGCCCAGCCCCCCCTCCACCCCCCTTGCCCAGAGTGATGCCATGCGGCTCCCTCACCCTTCCTGTAGCAGGCGGGGCCGGGAAACGCCCCTGCGGACTCTGGCCCCACCACGAAGAGCCCGGACCTGTGGGGGGAAAGTGGGGGAGGGGCTTTCAGAAGCATCCAGCAGCCCCTCCCCCTCCCCAACTCAGAGGCGTTGAAAGGGCCAAAGGGCAGCTGGTGCCCGGTTCCTGCTCGCGGGGTCAGCGTCTGCCCTTCACCCGTCCCCACTCAAAGGAAGGTGAAGGGCAAATCGCCCGGAGCTCAGGGGCCTCCCTGGGGCCAGAGGGGGGACCCCAAGGCAGGACGCTCACCTGAAGAAGAGGCGGGAGCCGCCCCCGGCCGCCACCGTGTTGATGTCCAGCTGCGGCACCTGGATGCTGATGCCGGCAGTGGTGGCCTCGAAGACGTGCTCGTACTCTCCGGCGTAGCGGCTCACGTCAGTGGAGGTCCCTGTAAGAGGACCGGGTGAGCCCCCCTCCCCTGCTTTGGACAGGGCCACGGAGCCCCTCTGCTCCCGCCACGCACCTCCCATGTCGAAGCCGATGACCGGACGCTCTTCCGTGCGATGGTAGCTGGTGACCGCATAGCCCACGACTCCGCCAGCAGGGCCTGAGAGGATGGCCCGAGAGCCACTGAAAGCCTCCATGGGAGTCAGGCCTCCGTCCGAGCGCATGAATGCAACCGGCACGCCCTGTGGGGAGGGGGAAAGGCCGGAGGGACCGAGGGGCGGGTGGTTGGGCAAGCGCCTTGCCAGATCCCGTGGGGCCCTGTGCCCCTCCAAAGCCCTTTGGGGTCCAGTGTGCTAAGAGCCTGAGGCCCCCGGCCAAACTCCCTGAGCCCCAAGGCAACGCCTCCTCTGCTTTGAAGGCCAGTGGACACCCCCCCCCGACCCCCAGGGCAAGTGGGACCCTTCCCTCCCCAGCCTCATCCACGAGCAGCCAGCAGAGCAGCCGGACTCCTCCCCAAGCCAAGAGGGGCTACTCAGAAATGTGCTGACTGCCCGGCTGCTAGGCCAGAGGTTGGAGGGCAGCCGAGAGGCAGCGACTGCATGCTTGGTGCACAACTCCCAGCCTGTGCGTGGCAGCACACCAGTGTGAGGCAGAGTCCCATACAATGCACAATAGTTCACAAAGCTCAGTCTCTGCGCTTGAGTAACGTGCACCAACAACCATCTTCTGCCTTAACGCAACAATCCGGGGCATTCGAAACAACAGCCGATGAGCGAGCGGAGCCTGGGCCACCCGGACAGACTGAAACCCCTGGAGTTCAAGCCAATGCGTCCCCCTTCCTCCTCCTCCTCCTCCTCCTCACCTGGAGCTGTGAAGCAAAGCCGTCCCGGAAGCTCTGCAGGTAGCGGAGGATGCAGGGAGTCAGGTAGGCGTCTATGCAGGCCGTGTAGCCACGGGGCACCACGCGCACCATGGGCATCACCTCGGAGGACAGCGAGACCTGCCGGAAGCCCAGCTCCCGGGCCAAGGTGCCCACCTGCTGCTCGTGGCCGGGCCACCTGTCAGAGACACCCAAGGCTGACCGCGCGGGAGAAGGGGCCCCCTTGCCAGGTGGCATGCTCAGCCCTGCCCACTGAAGGGAGATCTGGGCCCCCCCAGCCCCTCCCCTCCGGCCACCACCAGCCCTCAGCAGGAGAGCCAGGCCCAACCCTTGGCACCCAGAGGTTGCCTCTCCCAACCGCCTTCTCCCTCGGCTGTGTCTCTCTATCCGCCTGCCATGGCGCCAAGGGCGCTCCTTCCACGCCCGCACGGCTCCCTGCTGGGGGCTGCCCTGGAGGGTCAAGGAACTCACAGGTAGGAGTGTAGCAGGACCACGGCCAGACTACGGATGCCCCGTGCCAGCAGCGCCTCCAGCTCCACTCGCAGGGCCAGGAGGTTCACGGGCTGCTCCACCACCACCGCCTCCCCGGTCAAGCCTGGTTTTTTTTGGGGGGGGGGGGAAGGGCTGCCCCCCCCCGGGGGGCCGGCCGCTGCCCCCCCCCGCCCCCCAGGGCCCAGAGGTGGCTCCCACCTGTCACCCGCTGCCCGGAATCCGAGAGCGGGCAGCCGTCCCGATGGAGCACCAGGCGCTCGTCCACCTCCAGCACTGCCTCGTACAGGACCTCTGGCATTCGGACCTCCTGGGAGGAGAGCGGCCTTCAGGGCTGCCCCTGCCTGCTTGGGGGGAGCCCAGGCAGGGAAAGCAAGAGAGGCCCCTGCCAGGAGAAGGACCTCCAGCATCAGGCACAGCTGGGGCAGACCCAAGTGAGGGGGGGGGGCAGGGGCTTCCAGCCCACCAGTTGCCGCCACACAGCTGGCTGCCGCTGCTGCCAAGCCCAGGTGTAGCAGGGCACCCTCCCTCCCTGCTGCTGGGGAAGGTGGTGCCAGCTGGCACGGAGATCAGCCCTCCTGCGTGAGACACAGCAGAGCCGCTGGGTGTGTGCGTGCGTGTGTGTGTGTGCGTGTGCATGAGTCCCCTTTGCAGTTCACAGCACTGACCAGGTCAAAAATGCTGGGCCGTGCCTGGTTCCCGATGTAGAGCAGGTCCCGGAAGCCCCTGGTGATCAGCAGGGCGAAGCGCTCGCCCTTCCGCTCCAGGAGGGCATTGGTGGCCACCGTGGTGCCCATTCGGATCCACTCGATGCCCGTGGTGTTGAGGGGCTGGTCTTTGGGGAAGGAGACCCCGCACTCCTGCTGAAGGGAAGGGTGGACCTCGGCCGGCTGCTGCCTCTCGTTTCTCCCTCCCCCCACCCCCAGGTATCGCCGGGTGCAGAAGTGGGGCAGGCCTGCAGCTGCCAGCATCGGCCTCAATCCCGGGGAGCAGAGACCCCAACTCCGGGCCTCGCAGGGCTGCATCGACGGCTGCCGCCTGCAGAGAAGGCGGCCTGAGGCAGGGGACGCGGCCGGCCGCTCTGACCTCCTGCAGGATGCGGCGGATGCCCTCGGTGGGGGCGTCGCGGTAGTTGGCCGGGTCCTCGGAGAGCAGCTTCATCACGCGGATCTTCCCGTCGGGGCAGCGGGCAAAGACGTCGGTGAAGGTGCCGCCGCGGTCGATGGCGAACTGGAACTTGCCCGCCTGCGGGGCAGCCATGGCGAAGGAGGCGGGCGGGCGGACGACGAAGCCCAGCGGCTCCGGCAGCGGACGCCTCCCTCCGCTCCAGCCGGCCCCCCGTCGGAGACAGCGCAGCTCTCCGCCTCCGGACCTCTGCAGCGCTGCCCCGTGTCGAGTCCCGCCCCGCCCGCAACGACTTCCCAGCTGCGAGGCGGGCGGGGCTCGGCAGCCGCTGCGCGCGCCGAGCAGCGAGGGGGGCGGCGCCTGCAGCCCCCCCCCCCCCCCCCCGCGGGGCAGGCCGGGAAGCGCCGGGCGGGCATGGCGGGGCTGGAGCTGCTGTCGGAGCAGGGCTACCGGGTGGACGGGCGGCGCGCCGGCGAGCTCCGGCAGATCCGCGCCCGCATGGGCGTCTTCGCGCAGGCCGACGGCTCCGCCTACCTGGAGCAGGGCAACACCAAGGCGCTGGCCGTCGTCTACGGGCCCCACGAGGTAGGCAGGGGCTGCGCACCTGGGGGCGCGGGCCGGCGGGGGGGGGGGGGGCTAAGGCGGTCCCCCTGCCTGCCTGCCTGCCTCTCTCCGCCCGTCTCCCCAGCAGGTGCGGGGCTCCCGGAGCAAGGCGCCGCCGGACCAGGCGCTGGTCAACTGCCAGTTCAGCATGGCCACCTTCAGCACGGGCGAGCGCAAGCGGCGGCCCCACGGCGACCGCAAGTCCAGCGAGATGACGCTGCACCTGAAGCAGACCTTCGAGGCCGCCATCCTCACGCGGCTCTTCCCGCGCTCCCAGATCGACATCTACGTGCAGGTGGGGCGCCGGGGCGGGGCCGGGGGCGGCGGCGGGCGGCCAGGCGGCCTGGCTGGGGCGCTGACCGCCGCTCGGCCGCCCTCAGATCTTGCAGGCGGACGGCGGCAACTACTGCGCCTCGGTGAACGCCGCCACCCTCGCCGTGATCGACGCCGGGATCCCGCTGCGCGACTACGTGTGCGCCAGTTCCGCGGGCTTCGTGGAGGAGACGGCGCTGGCCGACCTGAACTACATAGAGGAGGCGGCCGGGGGGCCGCAGGTGGCGCTGGCGCTGCTGCCCAAGGCCGACCAGATCGCCCTGCTGGAGATGAACGGCCGGCTGCACGAGGAGCACCTGGAGCGCATCGCCGAGGCCGCCCGCAAGGCCTGCCGGGACGTCCACGCCGTGCTGGACCAGGTGGTGCGCGAGCACCTGCGCGAAGGGGCCGCCCTGCCCGGGACCTGAGCGGGGCCGCCCGGGACTCTGGCCCCGCTTTCCATGCCTGTTTCCCCCCGTCCCCCCCAATAAAGGTCTGCCATTCTCAAACGCCCGTGCAGTTCTTTGCAAGCCGGACGGCAGGAGCGCCGGTGCCGCCACGCAGAATTCGGGGGCCGGCCGAGCGACGCCGGAGCTCCGGCCGCGCAGTCCGGGACAAACGCGGCGATAGGCCGGCTGCGCGCTCGGGGCTGGGACGCTCCTCCCCGGCGCCGGGCGGAGCGTGCGCGTCTTCCGGGGCGGCGCCTCCTCCTCGGCCGCTGCTTCTGCCGGCCGGGCGCCATGGGGCTGCTGTCGGACCCGCACTGGCGCCGCGCGCTCTCCCGGCTGCTGCTCCGGCTGCACGCGCCGCTCTGGTGGGGCCGGGCGCGGGGCGGGCCGGGGGGCTGGGCGGGCGCCGCTGGGCCGCCCGGCTGAGCCGCTCTCCTCTCCCTCTCGCCCGCAGCGCGCTGAGCTTCGTGGCCGGGCTGGGCTGGTTCCTGGGCCTGGCCTTCCAGCCGCTGGCGCCGCGCGCCTCCATGTCCGAGAACGCCATGGGCTCCACCATGGTGGAGGAGCGCTTCGCCCGCGGGGACCGCGCCCTGGCCCTCGCCCGCGAGTTCGCCGCCCAGCGCAAGAAGGCCGGCGGGTGAGTCGGGGGGCGCCGGGGGCGGAGGACGGGCGATGGGGGCGCCGGGGCCCAACGCTGCTCTCCCCGCAGGGCGCTGCCGGCGGCCTGGCTGGAGAAGAGCCTGCGGGCGCTGGGCCTGGAGGTCTTCGCGCAGAGCTTCTCCCGGACGCTGCCCTTCCCGGACGAGGCGCGCGAGAGATACGTACGCGCGGGGCTCGGGCGGGGCGGGGGCGGCTGGGCCGGGCGGGGGGCGGCGGCGATGCCCAAGCGCTTCCCCTCCTCTCTTCTCCCCGCGCAGACCGTGAAGGGGACCAACGTCTACGGGATCCTGCGGGCCCCGCGCGCAGCCAGCACCGAGTCGCTGGTGCTGAGCGTGCCCTGCAGCGACGGGCAGCAGCGGAACAGCCAGGCGGTGGGGCTGATGCTGGCCCTGGCCGCGCATTTCCGCGGTGAGTCGGGCGCGGGGGAGGGGGGGCAGTCGGAGGGAGAGGAGGGCCGGTGCTGAGCTGCCCCTCCCGCCCTCCCTCGCAGGCCAGATCTACTGGGCCAAGGACATCATCTTCCTGGTCAACGAACACGACCTGATCGGCATGGAGGCCTGGCTGGAGGCTTACCACGATGTTAACGTCACGGGTGGGGGCCCCGCTGGGTCCCCGCCCCCCCCCCCCCCCCCCCCGCTGTGCTCCTGGGCCCCCGGCCTCCCATTTGGGGGCTCTGCTCCACCACACCTGCCATGCCCCTCCTGCTTTCAGCCAAAGCTTCCCTTAAAAGGAGCAGGTCTTTTACTCCTCCTCAGGGCGGCAGAGCTGGCCTTAGGCACAGTTGCAACCTCAGAAGGCCTGACCCTGGCTTCTGGCGGAGCCTGGGGGGGGGGGGGAAAGAAAGGCCCCTGGGGAATATTATCGGCCGGCCGCTCTCTGATGAGGGTGCCCACACAACCGCTGGGCCCTCTGCAGAGACGCATTCGTCGGGGACGTTCGGGCGAGCAGGAGCCATCCAGGCCGCCATCTCTCTGGAGCTGAGCAGTGACGTCATCACCAGCTTCGATGTGGCCGTGGAGGGGCTGAACGGGCAGCTGCCCAACCTGGACCTGGTCAACCTCTTCTACTCCTTCTGCCAGAAGAACGGGCTGCTGTGCACCATCCAGGGCAAGGTACGCGGGAGGCCGCCCGGAGGGGAGAGCCTCTCGGACATCGGCTCCCCCAGGCCGGAGCAGGTGCCTCGAGTCAGGCTCGGCCACGGCTTGAGCAGGCAGGTGGTCAGCCTGTCGGCAGGATATCCCTCCGCGGTTGGGGGTGGTGGTGTCCCTCCTTCGCAGGGCCAACGACCGGACAGGGCCTGCCCCGCTGAAAGCCTCCTCTGCCCCGCCTCCCCCGCAGCTGCAGCGCTCCGACTGGGACTCCCTGCCGGGCTACCTGCACTCCCTGCAGACGCTGCTGCTGATGGTGCTCAAGCAGGGCTCGGGCCACCCCCAGGGGGACCACGGCCTCTTCCTCCGCTACCACATCGAGGCCATCACCATCCGGGGCATCAACAGCTTCCGCCAGTACAAGTTCGACATGGGCGTGATGGGCGTGTGAGTGTCAGAGTGGGCTGAGATCCGACCGGGGGCCGCCGGGGACGGGAAGCCGCAAGCCTCTGTCCGCTCCTCCTCCCCCAGGACCTTCGAGGGCATCTTCCGGAAGCTGAACAACCTGCTGGAGCGGCTGCACCAGTCCTACTTCTTCTACCTGCTGCCTTCGCTCTCCCGCTTCGTCTCCATCGGGCTCTACATGCCGGCCTTCGGCTTCCTCATCCTCATCCTCGTCCTCAAGATATCCTCCTCCAGTGGAGGCAGCCAGCCAGGCCAGCCGGTGGCCCTGCTCACCCGGGGGGGGCGGGCGTCCGGGGGGCGGGGGGGGGGGGGGGGGGGGGGGGGGGGGGGGGGGGCTCCGGCCTGAAAGTGGGGCGCTGGAGAAGCTCCCAGCTGAGTCCTTCAGGGCCCCACGTGCCGAGCAAGAAGGGAGGGGCCTGGGTGGTGGGAGGGGCCTGTTCTCTGCCCGTCCAGGAGGGAGGAGCTCTCATTCCCCAGCATGCGAGGGGGGCCCTTTGGTGCGAGGGAGACGCCCTGGGATGGGGGGGGGGGTCGCCGCTTGGCCAGGGGGGGGCAGGGGGGGGCTCCTTCCACCCAGACACCGTCGCGGGGCACTCCGGGCGTCTTGTTCGGGGCTCGCCTATGCCCTGCCTGTTTTCCTGGACTCCTCCCTCCCTCAACGCCCTGGACCTGTGGGTGAAGCTGAGCAGTTTCGACACTGACGGGAGCCAACTCTGCGATGGAGACCAGGCTTCGAATCCTGCTCCTGTGGAGGTGGGCTTAGCCCCGGAGAAGGCGGGTCTTGTCCTCGTGGCAGCAACCTCTCTCTCCGGGCATAAGAGTTAGGCCGTGGGTTCGGTCTGCTGTCCAGCCCTCCAGCCTTTTGGGGGGAGGGGGGAGACACCGGCCAGCTCTGGCTCCGCTGTTCCTTTGCTTGGGGGGGGGGGTGCAGCGGGGCATCCCCATAACTCCTGCCGTCCTCCTCTGGGACAGGATCCGAGGCCCAGCGTGCTGACCCTGATCCCCCCGCTGCTCATCTGCCACGCCACAGGCCTCGCGCTCTACTTCGTGCCGGTCTGGGGGCAGCAGGTAGCCACGGAGCACTTCCCGGTCTCTGAGTCGGAGGCGGTGGTGCTCACCAGCATCGGGATCTACGTGGCTGGGCTGGCCTTGCCCCACAACACACATAGGTAACGGAGGGGTGGGAGCCCGGCCTCCCGCCAGGGGTTGCACCTGGGTCTGAAGGGGAGGAGCAGGAAGGCGGCTTTCCGGGAGATTCTGCCCGGACGAACCGGCCTTCCCGCCTTGTAGAGTCTTGATGGGCTCCGGGAGCAACCAGGGCTGGATGATGCTGAAGCTGTTTGCGCTGCTCTACCTGGCCATGCAGCTGAGCTGCGTCGCCCTCATCAACTTCTCCCTGGGCTTCCTGCTGACGGTCACCATGGCGCCCGTGGCAGCGGTTGTGCAACCCACGGGGCCCAGGTACGTCCTGGGGGGGGGGGGGCGCGGCGGGGGGGGGGGGGGGGCGGGGGGGGGGGACACACAGTCACAGGGCGGTGGGGGCTGCTTCCCTACCCCAGTGACGCTCTCCAGGGCGAAAGGGGCGTTTTTGAGCCAAGGGCCAGGGGACCCTCTCCAGGCACCAGAGGCTGGCATTGAGGGGGCCCGTGGTTTCACAAGCACGAATCCTGTTGGGCGACCCCCACCCCCACCCCAAAGCTCAAAGTCCAGAACAGTTGTGCCCCAAAGCAGGGACAGGAGCGGAGCCATTTCCTCTTCCTGGTTCCTGGACGAAGGAATCGTTAGCCAGAACCTTTGCACACCGGGTCCGTTGCAGTTCAATAGACGGGAAAGAGAGGGGGGGCGTCTTGCAGCGGGGGGGGGGGGGGGCAGTGCCAGACCGGCCACAATTTGCTCCTCAACAATTTAAGCTTGGAAAGGAGGCCAGGCGCTCCTGCCCAACCAATCGGCCACCTGGGCAGCGCAGGAGGAGGAGGCGGCTTGTGCCTGCCTCTCTGCATGATCCTCTGGGCCTGTTGATCAGGCCAGCAGAGAGCCGGCAGGTACCTCGCAGGAGGGAGGGCCAGGTGGGCCTGACCGGGAGCCCCTTCTCCCTGGCAGGTACCTGTATGCGGGGCTGCTGCTGCTGGTCACCCCGGCTGTCACTCTCCTCCTGTGCATCTTCCTGTACCAAGAGCTGATGGAGTACCCCATTTCGCCCCTGGAGGGCTGGCAGCGCTTCCTCCAGGTGATTGCCGAGGGGCTGCTGGACCACTACCTCTACGGCTCCATCGTCTTCCCCTTCGTGGCCATCTTCGTGTACCCCTGCTGGCTGCTCTTCTGGAACGTGCTCTTCTGGAAGTAGATCACCAGAGGCTTTGAAGTGGACTGTGGGGGGCAGCCTGGACACCCCCCCCTCCTCCTGCACAGCAGCTGCTGCTGCCCAGAGAGCTCTCCAAGGGGCCAAGGAGGTGGCAGCTGCCACGCTTGCAGCGTTGAATGTCCGGCTGGCTGCAGGCTGGGGCCTCCCTCTGCTTGGCTAGGGGCACAGAGGGCCACGGGGCCCTGACTCTCTTGGCCTTTGCTGTGGTTGCAAAAGCCAGAAAGACAGACTGGAGGGCTGGGAGAGAGGCAGGAGCTGTGGTTTGCCTGGAAACAATTTTAGCAAAATAAAAAGACGTTGGATGTTGTGGTGCAAAGAGTGGATTTGTGTGTACGCCTCCCCCCCCCCCCCCCGGGTCAATATTTCAGGCACCCACAATGCCTGAATCAATGAAGACTCCAGGCTGTTGCGAAGCTGAGGCTCGAGAGGGTGAAGGCCAGGCGGGGTTCGTGGACCGTGAACTCAGAAGAAGGACATTGAACTTGAGCAATGGGCCCTGACCAACAAAATGAAATTTAACATGGAGAAAACCAAGATTTTTTTTCACCTGGGCAGGAAAAGCCAAAGGGACAAGTACAGATTAGGGGAAACCTGGCTCCAAAACCAGTAACTCTGAGAGGGACCTGGGAGTCCCAGCGGACAATCCCTTAACCAGGAGCCAGTCGTGTGCAGCGGAGGCAGCAGCCAGAAAAGCTAACACGATCCTTTGGCTCCAAGGATCCTTTGGTCGTATAAACAGACGCAGAATGAAGATTGCATGAAGTTATTAGCACCGCTTTATGAATCCCTAGTTAAGGCCACGCCTGGAGTGCTGCACCCAGTTTTGGTCCCCACATGTACAGAAAAGAGGTTGAGACGGGGGGGGGGGGGGGGGGGGGGGGGGCAAAGAAGGGCAACAAAGAGGATTGAAGGCTAAAACGCAGGAAGAACGGCTGCGGCTCCAGGAACCGGGCATGGCTGGTTGAAGGAAAAGGGGGGGCGGGATAACTCGAGGCTTTTTACGGTCTCCTGCTTAGGCAGGAGGAAGGGGGTTGGACTAGATGACCCACAAGGTCCCTTCCAACTCTTGATTGTAACTGAATATATCAAGAAGACCGGACAACCACCTGTCTCATGGTATAGGGTCTCCTGCTTGAGCAGGGGGCTAGACTAGAAGACCTCCAAGGGACCCTTCCAGCTCTCTTCTGATTGGCTGATCGGTTCGGGTTCAGCCCTCCCTCCTGAGAGCCTCCCGCAATCGAACCGGAGCTGGCTGGGATCGCTGAGGACCCGCGAGTAAGCGGAGGGGGGCTCCTCTCCAGGATTCGTAGATCTGCCTGCTCCATCCGGGGAGGCCCGAAAGAGCCTCGCGTCACGTGCCCTACGGAAACCGGCGCGTCGCCGCTCTAGCCCACCCCAGGCGGCTAGGGCGTCGCTCTGAGGGCCGGAAGCGGCGGGAGCTACGCTTGTACTTCCGCCGCGCGGCACCTTGTGGGAAAGCTGTCTCGCCTCGTCTCCCCCCAAGATGGCTGCGGTGGCGGCGGCGGCGGCGCGGAGCCTGGCGCGTTCCCGGGGGCGCTTCCTGGTCCCGGCCCTGCCCGGCGGCCCCCATCCGCGGGTACGGCGAGGCGGCCCTGGCGACGCGCGCGCCGGTTCCTCCCCCCCGCTCGGGCTCCGGTCGCGTCCCGCCCCAAGGTCACCCCGCGCCCCACCCCGCCGCGGGCCCGGCTCCCCCTCCCCCCCCCGGCTGCTGCACTGCGGCGCCCCGAAGGACGCGAGCGGGAGGGAAGTGGCCCGGCTGCCGGGAGGAGCGGGGGGCCGAGGCTGTCCCTTTGCCGGGCGCCGAGCGGGATTGGCCCCGCGGGGAGTCCGGTGGGGCGTCTCGGGCAGGGAGGCTGGAGCGCGGCCAGGCAGCTGAAGGCGCTCCGAGGGGGATGAGAGGCAGGACGACGCCCCCCCGCCCCCGCCCGCAGGCCTTTGCAGCCCCCGGGCCCCGTCCCCGTCTGGTGCGGCACCTTGGAGGTCTGAGCGGGGTGGCCCCACGCGCGCCTCCCCCTGGGCCACTTCAGGCTTCCGGCTCGCTGGGGAATCCTGGGAGTTGTACGTCATCTCTGCAGGGACTCTGGGGAAGGGGGGGGGGCTGTTCACCCAGGAGGCGGGAGACTCCCGCAAAGGGCTCAGGGGAAAACCTGCGGGGAGCTTAGTGGGGTCCGGGGGGCTGGGGGGGGCTTCCATTCAGCTTGCGGGCAATTCGCTCAGCGGCCTTTCTTTGCAGGCCAACGTGGCGTCCGTGGCGGGCCTGTCCCGGGGCAGGAGGGTGGCCCTGGGCGCTCTGGGCGTTCTGACGGTCGGCGGGGCAGGGCTGGCCTGGGCCCTCCATAGAGCTGTGAAGGCCTCGGAATTGGAGCTTCATGCACCCAGCTACCCCTGGAGCCACAACGGCCTCCTGACTGCCCTGGACCACAGCAGGTGGGTGGCGTCAATGCCCAACAAGGGTCGCTGGGGCCCCCGCTTGACTTTGCTTTGCCCCCTCTGGACAGGGAGCAGCTGCCAGGCTTCCTCTGTCCGTGTCCCGTCCTTTAGCTGGCTCCCCCTCCCTTTGCTGCCCCCGTCTTCTGCCTGCCTTCCGTGCAGACGGTCATTTCCGAGCTTGGCCCAGCTGCCTCCTTCCTCCGGCATTGGGCACACTGGGCTCATCCAGAGGGATCCTAGTCTTGGGCAGGGCCACCCCCCCCCCCCCGCCCCCCATTCTGCTTCCTGCCATGGTTTCAATACCTGGCTCATAGGTAAGGACTGCCTTGTGAGGCTCGTGGCCTGAAGGAAACATTTGTGTCCACAGCGTCCGACGTGGCTACCAGGTGTACAAGCAGGTGTGCTCCGCTTGCCACAGCATGGAGTACTTGGCCTTTCGCAACCTTGTGGGCACTACCCACACTGAAGAGGAAGCCAAGGTGCTGGCTGCGGAGGTAAGCAAAGCGTGCAGCTGGTTCGGGTGTCATGGGCTCCGCTCTGGGCTGCCTCGCCTGGTTCTTGCCTCCAAGAGGCTGGCTGCAGGGCTGGTGGCCGCGTCACGCTGCTGGTTAGCTTGAGGTGGGGATGATGGGTGCAGGTGGACAAAAATAGCTTTCCCATCTCTGGGGAAAGGTGGAGGTTTGTCAGGCGAGGCTGGCCTCTCGCCCTTTAGGTGGAGGTGCAGGATGGACCCAATGAGAATGGCGAGATGTACATGCGGCCTGGCAAGCTGTCCGATTGCTTCCCCAACCCTTACCCCAACGCTGAAGCAGCGCGGGCGGCGAACAACGGGGCCCTGCCTCCTGACCTCAGCCTCATCCTCAAAGCCAGGTAATCCTGCCTGAGGCGGGGGCCTGGGCACGTGGTGGCTGGCATTGCCAAGCACAGAGGAGAGGCTTGGAGAGGCTGGGCCCTCACTGCCCTTCCCTTTCAGGCATGGGGGCGAGGACTACGTCTACTCCCTCCTCACTGGCTACTGCGACCCCCCTGCTGGCGTGACGATGCGAGAGGGGCTTTATTACAACCCCTACTTCCCCGGACAAGCAATAGCCATGGCTCCTCCCATCTACAACGACATTCTGGAATACGATGACGGTGAGTGGGCTTGAGGGTGGCCGGAGGCCTCTTCCTGGGCTTGGCTGGAGATCACCCGGGTCTGCTCCTTTACAGGCACGCCTGCCACCATGTCGCAGGTTGCAAAGGACGTCTGCACCTTCTTGCGATGGGCAGGAGAACCGGAATTCGATGACCGCAAGCGGCTAGGCCTCAAGGTGCGTGTTCTCTGCTGGTTGTGGCCTGGTGGGCCAGGCAGAGCCAGGAGCTGCTGCTGCTGCTGCTTCCCTGGTGGGGGCAGCAGGGAAGCTGGCTGCAGGGTGGTGCCTTGGGGCAACTCTGTGACAGCGGCTCCTCTCTTCACCCAGGTAATACTAATTGCATCCCTGGCAATACCCTTCACGTTCTTGATGGCAAGGCACAAGTTTTCGGTTTCGCTGAGCAGGAAAATGTTCTACCAGCGTCGTGACTGACCTCTGGATGAGGTAGACCGGCCTCCAGTGCCAGAGCGCTGATGGCGCTTCGTCCTTCGTGCAGCTGGGCGGGGGGTGGGCCGCTTCCCCCAAATGCGTTGGCTGTTATTTAATGTCTCTCGCCATTCGTCCAGCCGCTCTCTCAGCTTTGGCAAGAGGACCCTGGGGTGAGGGGTGGCAGCCCCCCAATAAACGTGTTTCTTCAGCCAGGCGTTAGTTGCTTTCTTGAGGCGCCCAGGATCCTCCCAGCCTGCAGACCCTCCACCCCCTTGCAATCCTTCATCGGCCCCAAAGAGAACCACTGGCTCACAGCTGGCGTGTTTTTCTTTTATTGGGAAGGTTCTCCGGCCCTGTGCAGCAACAAGAGAGCGGGAGCCCCTCCCCTTCCTCCGGCTCTCTCCACGTGGTGTAGCTGTGCCTCAGTTGCCCAGGAGTTGTCAGCCAAAGCCTGGGGGGGGGGGGGGGCGTGTCTTTGGAATCAGGCAATCGGAGGGAGGGGGAGACCCACCAGTTTCCTGACTCTCCCGCTGCCAGTGAAGTCAGAAAGCAGACTTCCCGAGGTTGCTGCCTTCCAAGCTGGGGGCAGAGCCACAGGCCTTGGGCACACCCCCCCCAAATTAGCAGGCTTGACCCCGGTGGAGCTGTTGACATGGGGGGAGGGGGGTAGCGGGTAGAAGGCTGCCTGCCCGCCCGCTTCCTCTTGCCAAGCGCTCAGTGGCAGTTCTGGCACAGCCGGTGGCATCTCACTCCATCCACGTTGCACCGGCAGCCCCCACTGATGTCACCGTGGCCCTGCAAGAAAGGGGTGAGCGGGGGTGACCCGGCAGGTGACCCTCCTTTCCAGCTGCCTCCTGCCCCTCCCAAGGCCTGCACAGGGAGGAGGGAGGCTAAGGAACCCCCCCCCCCCCCCTACCCTCCGGCTCCTCCCTTTCCCGGGGACACATACCCCTGGCCCCCAGCGTGGCCCCTTGGTCACCCAGCAGATCTCTGTCTGGCAGACAGGGCACCGGATCCAGTCGCAGCCGCCCTTCTTCTGCACCACGATGCGGCAGGCGGGGCAATGCATGGCCTCCCCCAGCTGCACCAGCATCTGCCGGGACAGAAGACACCGAGTCAGCTGCTCGGAAGGCCCAGGCTGCGTAAGGCAAGCAGGGAGGGGGCTGGCCTGACCTTCAGCATGTTGTTAGTCTCTCGGGCGGCTGCATCGTGATGAGCCTGGGACTTTAGCTTGTCCTGGTACTGCTTGCAGTTCATGCCCTCGTGAATGGCCTGTGGGCAGAGGCAGCTTCAGGCCTGGCCCTTCCACCCTGCAAGCCCCCCCCCCCCCCCGGTCCTGCCAGCGTTCCTCCCCACTCACTCCTGGGCCAAGCAAGGACTGGGGGGGGGGAGGCGCGTCTGAGGCATCTCCCGCTGGGCCCACCTTGCAGACGAGGCAGTTCAGAGCCCAGCAAATGGGGCACCGGAACTCGTTCACGTCGTCCTCGTAGACGCACCACCCGAGACAGTCGGCCGTCCGGCAGTGGTAGCTGTTCTGCGCCCGGCTCTCGGCCACCGCCAGCCGCCGCTCCAGGAAGCGCTCATACTCCTCTTGGGTCACCAGCTGCAGAGCGGGGGGGGGGGGGGGGGGGGCGGGGCCGGAACCGCCCCACGCCCGCGGGCGCGCCCCCCCCCGGGGGGGTCCCCCCCACCCCCCCCCCCCCCCCCAAGGCAGGGCTGCCCTGGCAACTCCCCGGCCTGGACTCACCGCCCGTATCTCCCTGTCCTGGAGGTGGCTGGTGCAGGCGTAGTAATTGTCCCGAAAGGGACAGGACACCTGGGGGTCCTGGCTGCAGTTGACCAGCTGGCGCAGGCAGGCTCTGCGGAAGGAGAAGGCGGCTTAGCGTGGCTTGAGGGGAGGCCCAGCCCTGCCTCCCTACCCCCCCTCCCCGCCGCAGGTGAGGCGCCTCACCTGCAGAAGCTGTGCAGGCACTCCCTCAGCAGCACCCCGTTGCCCGGCTCCACCTTCAGGTAACAGATCCGGCACTCCATCTCCTGCTGGTTGGGCACCAAGGCCTCTTCCTCCAGCTGGCACAGCTGCTGGAAATTCTGCATCCGCTCCTGCTCCAGAGCCTGCAGGAGGAAGGGCAGCAAGCTGGGCTCGGCCGCCAGCAGTAAAGGGGGCCCGGAGGCCTGACAAGCAGAGCCCGAGGGGGTCAAAAGGAAGGCGGGGCGTAGGCACGGGCTCTGATAGGGCTCAGAGCACGGTCCCTGGAAAGGTTCCTGCAACAGCTACGCAAAACGCCCCCGGTGCATCCGCCCTGCTTCTCGGAGCCCCCTGGCACGGAGGGCACTGCGAGGGCCCAGGGCGAGGACAGCGGCCAGTGGGGTTTGTGGCATTCACAGCCCGGCCGGAGTCTCTGCCCTTCCCCTTCTTTGCAAGCGGTGGGGAGGCTGGGGCAGCAGCTTCACGGATGAAATCTTCCCGCCCGCCTTTCAGAGGACAAGGAAGCCACGTCGTTCTTCACCGTGGCCCTTTGCTGTTATTCGAAAAGCTGCTTATTTATCGGTGAATTGTTTTGTCACATTTCCAACCCACTCGCTCGCTCCCCGTCAAGCCAGCCCGAGGCAGCTGAGCTCCAGACAGCAGCCCTGAAATAAGAACGCTCGGTGAAACCTACGCATCGGGACGCTGTCGGGTGAACCAATAACCCCCAGGAGAGGCCACCGATTTCAGCCCTGCCTCCCGAGCGGGTGAAATGCGTCCCAAGGAGAAGAAGCCTGGAACCGGAAGAGCCTCCTTGGGGGAGGACTGAGCCCTGAAGGAAGGGGCCGCGGAGCCATAACCCCCACACAGCGACCCTCCTGTACAAAGAGCCACGTTCCAGAAGGAAGCTGGGATTCACAAAGGATCGTCCGAAGAAAAGCCCCCCCCCAAGAGGAAGACAACGGTCCTGCCCTGGCTGGGCAGATTGGGGGGGGGGCTTCAAGCCCCTAAAAAAGAGCAACCAGCTGCCCAGCCCCCGGGGGGAATCCAACCCGTCTCCAACGGCTGTGGAGCTGGAGTCAGGCAAGGGCCCCTTTTCCCCAGGCAGCCCCTTGACCCCAAGGGTCCAGGACTCCCCCTCTGCGCCCTGCGACCCTCAAGCAGAGGGTCACTCCGGCCAAGGCCGGCCCCCACCCACCCGAAAGGAGTTCCTCCCTGGGACCCTGGCCCTTTTTAGTGACGGACACTGGGGAAGGTCCTCTGAACTAAAAGTCTGTAGAGATTCTCTGTCATCCAGGTCACGGTGGCCCCAAAGGTGCTTTTTCAGGAGGCAACTGGACTTCGTTTCTTTTGAAGACATTTCACTTCTCACCCAAGAAGCTTCTTCCGCCCTGACTAGGATGGTGGGGAATGGAAGGATTTATACTCCTTGCAGGCGGCTCTCCTGTCCGTCCTCGAACACTTGGAGGTGCACAATCATTGCGGTCTTTGCCGGGTCAAACAAGCCAATGGTGGCCTGGACATTGCCGGTCCCGGTGGATGTGTGACCAGTTTGGAAAGTCTGCTCATGTGGCATTGACAAGGGACGGTTTGGCCCGGGCTCCGGCTTTGCTGGCGAAGGTTGGGCTCATCCAACGGCTCAGCGGACAAAACGGATCTCGAACTGATCTGACACCAACCAGGATTAACGTCTCCCGGAGAAAGTGGATCCTCTCCCGGCTCCATCTCTTTGGATTGAGGGGTTTTATATAGTGCTACTGCAGGCTTTGCATTCTTTAAAAATGTGTAGGTTTTCCTGCAGACCACCCAGATCTAAAAAGGCAATCGGATCGTTTGCGTTTTGAGAACCACGGGAAGCCAAGCAGCTGTGCCTCCTGCCAATGCCAGGGGTAGCCGCTTCCTGGGCCCCTGGCAGCCCAGGGCCCAACCTGCACAGCCACCAAGGACCGATGCTGGGATGGACAGCGCCCCAGTTCCTCTGGGCTCCAGGGGGGCTGCTGCTCAGCCGACCCCAAGGCTTTCGAGCAGTTACCCATTCAGACGTTCAGAGTGGCCCTGGGGGGGGGGTCACAACTGCTCCCACCCAGGGGGACCACCTCCCCAAGATTTTCAACCATTCATCAAAGAAGCGAACTGGGTGGTAGAAAACAGGAGTCATTTGTTAATTCAGCCACTTGGCTGTAAAACACAATGACATCCCAGCCCGTAAACCCAGGCAATGGCAAGATGCGGGTGGCACATTAGATTAGTGTGGGCACTGAGAAAGCAAAGGGTTTGGGGGGGGCGTGGAAAATGCCATCCTTGTCAACAATCAAAACCACAGATCCATTTCCTGGAAGGCAACTCTCGACCCCCTTTTCCTCTGACGTTGTTCTACAGTATTAAATTTACACGCTGCCCGACTCTCAGCCACTCTGGGTGGTTTTATTTATGCAGAAGACGAGGGAGGACTCCCGCTCCCCACCCAGCCCGGATTTCCCAGGAGAGGAAGCCAGGCGTTGGTTCAAGAGCTGTGGGTTTTTCTGGGGGGCTCCATCCTCCCTCTCCCCACTTTGTTCCCCCTTTCAAGCACCTTCTGGCCCAACGGGTGCAGAGAGCGCCCCCATGAGGATTTCCACGGAGGCCGCCAAGCCACGTCCCGTGATCCCCTCGGGTGATGCCAGCTGCGATGAGGGGCCTCTCACGCTCCAGGGGCAGCAAGGGGACCCCTCAGAAGACGCCCCGGAGTCCCCCGCGGCCCCTCTCACGGGGGGGGGGTGGCTCTCCAGAGGGGATTTCCCACAAGGACTCCCCACCCCCCACCCCCACTTCTCATTGTTGGGGGATCTCCCCCTCCTGGCTCAGTCAAGAAAGCACGGCGGATTCGCTGGGTGGGCCACTTGGCCCAAAGGCATCTTTTAATGGAACAAGATCTCCAATTCATTTCAAAACTTCAAATGTTCAAAGGCAAGATGTAGAAATTAGCCCATCTCAGAAGGGCGCCCAAAGCCGCCGTTCAGCGAGAGACTTGGAGGCCGCTTGTCCCTCTGCAGATGCTCCCCAGCAGGCAGGCTGGGCCCAAGCAACCCAAGGAAAAGGTCCCCCTGGTCTTGGGACACGCTCGGTAACCCCTGGCCCCAGTGGGCCAACGGCTCCCAGCCGGCCTGTCTCCTGCCAAGAAACCTGGCCCAAGGACAACCTTCTAACTTTCTGAAGCGCCACCCCACCCGGAGAGGCCCTACTTCCAGCTTCCCTCTCGCACCACACGCTGCCTAACGGGCAGGGCTGCTCCTGGTGCAGAGACGGCCTGGCCCCCCTGCCCAGCAGCTTCACAAGGCAGTTGGGGAAGGTGGCAGGGAGGAAGCCTCAGTCCCCACTGGCAGCCCTGCCCCCAGAACGACCCTCTGGCCCTCTCAGTCTCCGCCCCAGAGAGGGGACCGGTGGAGAAGAGGCCCGTCCTCCCGCTTCCTTTGCCTGCAACTCGGCCCCCTAGTAAGTTCCCAATCCCAACAGGGGATAGCAACCCTGGCCTGAATCTCTGGGTAAAGGGCCATGCTTAGGCCCCCCCCCCCCCCCCGGGGCCCGCCCTGTTTCTCTCTCTCTCTCTCTCTCTCTCTCAAAGGAGGGCTCTGCTGCCTGCCTCAGTCGGGGCAGGAGCTGTCGCGCCAGAGGAGCTGGCCAGGGCTGCGAGTGCAGCTATGAGAACTCCGAGGAGAAGTGGATGGCTGGACTGTCTTCTCTCCTTCCCTTTTCCTGCCACAAGAGAAAAAAGAAAGAAGAGAAGAGGGTCATCAGGGGCCGTGAACGGCAGCCTCCCCTTCGCTTTTCGCCCCCTCCCCACAAGCCACAATCGCCCTGGAAGCCTCAAAGGTGGGAGGAAGTCTTGCAGGGCACAGGATGCCGCGTAAAAGTAAACATAAAAAATAAAGCAGGAGGCTTCTACACAAAGTGTAACACAAACCGGCACGGGTCACTTTTATGAAAGCAACAGGAGTTATAAAAAGACAAAGCACATACGGCATTTCTAAGTTCATACAGAAAGCTTTAATAACATTACAGCGCTCCTCTAGGTCGGTCCCTGCGAGTCACACAGTCCCCGAGTTCTGCGCAGTCCCACTGGGGACAACCCCGCCCCCCAACCTGAAACTGGCTGGCTCAGCCCCCTTCCCCCACTGCGGAGCCGTCACCTCCCCTGCCTCGGCCGCCTGGGTGCTACACCTGAGCCTGTGGAACCAGGCCACCCGGCCCACCCTGGCCGACATCCCAGCCCATCCTCCCGCCGGGTCCTCCGTGGGACTGTCCCTGAAAGGGGGCTAGAAGCCGCCTCCTGGGGTGCCAGCAGGGAGAAAGGCCTGGACTGGTGGTGCAGTTGCTCCCCACGCACAAGGGTATCTGGGGTGGAAGCCGGTTGTGACAAACCTTGCACGGCTGAGCTGACGCTGCTCCCACGAAGGAAGTTGCAGGCGTTTAAGGTCTGCATAGGGGGGGGGGGCCTTCTGAAGAGAAGGGGGCTGTGGCCCACCCACGCTGCCCACACCGGAAAGGGCTGAGAAGTGCTCCCAGGTGTGCAACCCCTCCCTCTGGAGCTGGGCAATTGGTGCCGGCTCTTTCAACGTTGGGGACATATGTACTTTTACCACCTTGTACCCGGTGAAGGACCAGAGTCTTCAAGCAAATTCTAAATCTCTAATTTCACATTTTGAAATTCCCCGTTTTAAAGCAGCCCCGCATTTGCAGATCTGCAGCCTCTTCCAGGCTGAATGGGAGCTGATTCAGCAAGAGACGCCTTAACAGGGTGAAAGGCCTGAGCCCGGGCAGACAAAATGCTTCCAGCAAAGAGAAGGAGCCCCCTCCCCTTCCTCTCCCACCCCCACCGCAAAGGGGCCGCCTACCTTCTGGTACTGCAGGAAGCCCTCCTCCTCCTGCTGCACCCGCCACATTTCCACATCGTCCGGCCGGTAGCTCACAGGAACCACGTAACCAGCAGGACGGTCAGTGCTGCACATTTCACAGCCGGGGCGGGTGGGCTTGTTGATGAACGTGCAGGTGGGACACGACCAGCCGGCCTGGGCAGAGGACAGAGGGAGCCCTGCCTCAGTGCCACCTGCCAGGCAGGGATGAGCCGAGCGCAGGGCCTATGGGCAGGGGTCAGCTGACTGAGGGCCCTGCTGCCAACCTACCTGCACAGGAGAAGGGGGGGCAGCAGCTGGGAATGTGGGGGACTGAGTGCGACACGGAAGAATTTTACTCATGTGCACAGAGTCCAGGAAGCGAGTGATCTCCCCAACATCCGACTTCCTGTTGAGGTCTTTCCCACCTGTGGGCAGAAAAGCAGCCCTGGGATCAGTCCGGCCACCTTCCAAGCAGGAAAAGGAGGCCACGCGGGCACATGGACTTCCTCCTAAGGCATATTTGGGGCGGGGGGGGAAGAGAGATTATGTTTCCCCAGCTCACCTTTCTTCGGCAAAGAACTGGCGCTGCTTTTGTGCCTGCCGTCAGAGCTGCCAGGGATGGCTGAGGGGGGTGGCTGGAGCACCACCCAGTCCTTGTCCTCCTTGTAACGCTGCTCGGAGAGGTTGGCTCCCTTCGCTGAGAGCAAGTAGAGGAAGGCCGTATCGCCATCCTTCCGGATTCCGTAGGAGCCAACCGTTCGGTCGTCCACACACAGGCACTGCCCAATAATCCAGCGCTGGACAGTGGGGTGGAATCCATAATCCTGAAAGACCTGGCGGGCAAAGCAGGTGGGCACATGGGGGCAGGCCTCCCAAGCATGCTTGGCTGGACCTCAATCAAGCGGTCCCCCACAACTGTGTCCAATGCCGCCTTTCCAGAGGCTGACCCAGAGGGAAGAAGCAGCTAGCTGAGTACCTGGTGCCTGAGGGCGGCGATTGTGGTGTGCGTGTGGACCCGGGCCACGATGCTGGCAGAACAGGAGGCGTCTTCCACGTGCACCTTCATGCTAAGAGGAAGCAGAGCTCCAGTTAGAGGTGCCACCTGCAAAGCAAAGGACAGGAGCCCGACCAGAGGCCTCCCTCTCCTCTGACTCACCTGATCTGGCTGGCAGGATAGCAGGACTCCTTCAGCTGGATGCGCAGAGCAGTGTGCTGCTGGGCGAGCAAGGAAGCACAGCGCCTGGCCTCCTCCTCGTTTCCAAGTTCGATGGCTGCAGAAAGCTGGAGCACCAAGTCTTCTACGGAAGGAAGGAGGAGACTATCGTTCATTTACTCTAGTTTTGGCCTGCACCCTGCTCACGTTGTAGAATGCAAATATTAAACATCCTTGGTAAACTTCAAAAATCATTAACAGGAAAATAGACAAAAAGAAAACATGAGCCATAAAAAGGTTCCAACCGTCTCCAGAATAGCTGCATCTTCAACCTTTTCCTCAAGGCTCTTGGACCAGCCTGAACTATCAGGAGGACCATACGAATTGGCTGCTGCTGCTGCTGCTGCCTCCAGCTCCCTTTATACCACCTGGAAGATTGGGAACCACAAGCAGCTTTTCCCTGGACGATTTAATAGGTTCAGGTGAGAGACAAGCTACAAAGGACTTTATAGATTAAAAAAAAAACCCATGACTTTAAATTGCACCCAGGGGCCAGTAGCAGCCAGTGCAGGGCCTGACCGATATGCACAATACATTCCCAATGATGGGACCAGCCAGCGCACGGACTCTGTGGCTTTAAGCATCCAAGCGGTCTTTAGCTTCAGGTCAAGCACACAACTGGGGTTCCACCCAAAGGTGGGCAAAGGCTCCTGCATCACGGGAGCCATCCCTGTTCCAGCAGCAGCTGTGAATGGCCAAGTAGCACTTCCAACTTATCAGGGTTCAGTTTCAGCCCGTTCTACTCTCATCCAGACCCTGACAGCCTCCGAGTCCCTGACAGTTCAGAGTGGGGATGTAAAGTCAGGTGTCGCCTGCTTACCTATGATACTAAACCCCCAAACGGGAGTGGGCTGACCCCCTGGAACCCCTTTAGCGTTGGGGCCACCAAAACCACCTCTCCTCCCCACTGCAACTGATAGGGCCCACATGCCAAAGGAGGAGTGGAACCTCTGCAAAACCGTGAGACCAATACTGTCTCAGTCTCTTATCTGAGTCCCACCTGAACAGAGTTAGAGATAAATCATGCAGTTTAAATAAAGTTTATTGTTCTGTATGGTTTGGTTTTAGGTGTCCTGTCTGTTTTTAATCTGCATGTGCCTAGAGTCAGTAGTGAATTGGCATTACAAGAGGAGCTAAGGTAGCCCAAAATCATAAGGAAACTGGTAGCCACTCTGCATTTGATGAGGTGAGCTGTAGCTCATGAATTTTAATAGTAGTTTACAGACTTTTAAAAAAAATTCTAGTCAGAAAATGTGCCTTCTGAATGTGGTTGGTGGCCTTGTAAATCTAAATAATAAACAAATGACTTCTCCATACTGTATTGAACATGCCCCCAGTGTCTCAAACTGCATTATCTCAAAAGCTTGGTGACTAGATAATAGTTTATCCAACACCAATGGATTCAGGGAGGATCTTATCAGGAGGGAAAAAATCACAGCTTCTTTCAAAATGGCTGGAAACTCCCCCTCCAGTATTGGAGGCAGCGATAGCTTCCACTGTCCTCAGCCCCACAGAGCCAAAGTGGGCCTGGGTCAAGTTCCCAGGTGGCAGATGATCATCTAGGTAACCCTCTCACTGCCATACCCGAGACAGAGTCCTGGTCAATGCAGCCAAGTGATGCCTTTGTTGTCCTGAAAGGTTTCAGTACTTAAAACTGGCCAATGGCTCCCCTGACCACAGCTTCCAAGTGCTGACCCAGCAGGAGCTGGGCCTCCTGGAGAACCTGGACATCAGGCAAGCTCCACCTTGTTCTAGAACTATCACGGAACTAGTTTCTGGATTAATAACCAGGATGTTTCAGAATTAACCACTCTAGATTCAGTCTTAACCGGGTCTTCCTACTGAGACCCCACAAACTTCTGCTGTACAGGTGATCCTTGACACACAACACTTCATTTAGTGACTATTTGAAGTTACAAAGGCACTGAAAAGAGTGACTTATGGCCATTGCCGCATCCCCATGGTCATGTGATCAAATTTTGGAAGCCTGGCGATTATATTTATGACCTTTGTAATGACCCCCTTTTGTGACTTCCTGACAAGCAGAGTCAATGGAGAAGCCAGATTCATTTAACCACGTTACTAATTGAACAAATGCAGTGATTCAATTAACATCTGTGGCCAAAAAGTCATAAAACGGGGCAAAATTCACTTAACAAATATCTCACTTAACAGAAATTTTGGGCTCAATTGCAGTCGTAAGCCGAGGGCTACCTGGATCGCCCATTCGGTCTGGGTACCATCTGCAGATTGATGCTACTGGACCCCAAACTGTCAAATGCACCTCCAGGTGCCTGTATTAAATAAAACGGGGCAGACGGTCAACCTGCTCATCCCTCATGAACAGCAACTGGACCTGCCCACTGAAGTTGGGGGAAACAGGGCCAATGACCCCCCACAACCCTCGCAGACGAACCACAAAAGTTCAAGATATCAAGAGCTGCCAAGAGGCAAAAAAGAACCGCTGAGATTTTAAGAAGGACACGTTTGTCTGTTTCACTGCACATATTTCAATTTAACTATCCTGAGCCCATAACGGAACGAACCGAGTTCACTTGTTGCCAGGCTACTTACTAGGCAGCAGCCTGCACTAACCTTTCTTCGCCGTCTCCAAAGGCAGAGAGGCAGCCAAAGGCTGGGAAGAGGGCCGTCCGGTGAGCCCGTTGGTTCCTTCAGGAGCTGGAGAGAGAAAACGTTTTCCTTTTTGAGGCCCAGGCAACTGCCACAAACAGCTACCAGCCCTTCAGAGAGAGAGAGAAAACTCAAGGGGGGGGGGCGGGATTCACATAAAGAGCAGAGCAGCCCCCAGACAAATAACAGACAAATAAGTGGAGGGAGGATGTTTCCGGCCACAATTCTTTGGAAGGCGTTTCCCACCGGGGAGGAGGAGGAGGAGGAAGCCCTGGAAACCCAGCAGGTCGCTATCATAAGCGCCTCCCCTGCCCGGATCGACCAGCGGAATTCGGCTCCAGCTTCTGCCTGGGAGAAAAGGGGAGCCCCAAACCTCAGCTGGCAACAGGCAGCCGGGACAAGGCCTCCCCAGGCGGGAGCAGCTCTCTGGCCTCAACGCAGACGCGCCCCCGAGGCCTCCGGTCCTTCTGGAAGCGGCCTGCCTGCCCCCCCCCCCCCCGACCGACCTTGGTGCACTTCGCGGAGGGAGCTGCTGAGCACCGCCCACCAGGCCTGCGCCTCCTGCTCGTCCTCGAAGTGGAAGACCAGCGGGTCGTCGGGCCGCGCGAGGACCTTCAGCTCGTGGCAGGTGCCGCTCTTGGCCTCGTACGAGATCTCCTTCAGGCCGTACTCCACCAGGCTCTGCCGGGGGAGCGGGGAGCATCACGCGAGCCGCCCGGGCAAAGGGCGCCCCCCCCCCCCCCCCCCCCCCCCCCCCCCCATACCGGCTCAGGGCCCGAGTCGGGGCCGCCGCGGAGGCCGAGGCGGAAGCGCTCGGGGCCGGGAGCCGCGCTCAGCTGGAGCCGGAGCAGGCGCTGAGCGTCCCGGGCGCCCGGGGAGGACGAGGCCGGCGGCGGGCGCGGCACCCAGGCCCGCGCCGAGGCCAGCACCACCGGCCCGCCGGACGCAGCGGCCGCGGAGGCCGAGTCAGGCGCTGCCGCCATCGCGCCGCCGGAAGCGGAAGCCCCCCGCGCCACCTTCCGGAAGCTCGGGCCCCTCTTTACGGCAGCCGCCGCGGGGCACGACGGGAGCCGTAGTCGCGCGCTCCGCCCGCCGAACCTGTCTCCCCGCTCGCTCGCCTGCGGGACTCCGTGGGGGGGGGTCACTCCGCCCAGCCGCCCACCCCCACTAGCAGCCGACGCCTCCCTCGCCGGCGGGGCGAGGCGGAAAGGGCGGAGGAGGCCGAAGGGAGCGCCGCTGCTCAGCCTCTCCGAGGACCCCCAGGGCTCACCCTTGGGTCGCCCAGCGGCCTTGCCCCCTTCCTCCTCCTCCTCCTCCTCCTCCTCCCGGCGTCAGGGCCCGAAGGAACCCCGAGGGGGGGGGCCTGTCCCGGGCGTCCTGTTCTCTGGAGCCCACGCCCAGGGGCAACGACACACAGGTGGTCCTCGACTTACAACTGTTCGCTTAGTGACCGGTCAAAGTTACAATGGCACCAGAAAAAGTGACTTAAGACCGTTTCACACTTACGACCGTTGCAGCATCCCGGTGGTCACGTGATCAAAATCTAGACACATGGCAAGCAACCTTCTGACCAGCAAACTCAATGGAGAAGTCAGATTCACTTAACGACGGTGTTGCTAACTGTTGATTCACTTAACAAATGTGGCCAAAAAAGTCGTAAAATGAGGCAGACCTCAACATCTCTCACAGCCACAGAAATGTCAAGCTCAATTATGGTCATAAGTCGAGGACTACCTGTCCTCTTCATCTCCTGCTTGGTATCTTTCCTCCAACCACCGGCCCTTCTCCAGATCCCCTGGCGTAGCTCAGTTACAACCTGGGTGGTGGCTGCTTCTGTCGCTTGCCGTATCTCGGGGGTCTCCGTCAGTCCTTGTAGCCTTTTGAATTGGTGATGAGGCCGGACTGGAGGGGGGGGCGTCTCCCTTGGCCTTCTGGGACTTAGAGGTTCTTGGGAAGAGGCAGCGGCGTCTCCTGAGGCCTCTTGGGTGCTGACCTCTCGGCCACTCGGGGGTTCAGAGCGAATCCCTTCCCTCTTCCTTGGATCAATTTCAGCCGCTGACTATCGGTCCCTCGGTGTCCGTTAGCCGCCAGATTGAAGTCGGAAGCCCCTTCTGCGTTCCGAGACCTTTTGAAAGACGTCCCTTCTTTTCCCGTGTCTGTTGCTGTCCTGGGTGTCTTTACGGGAGTTGTAACCCTGTTTTTGGTCTCTTCCAGTCGGTCTCTGGAACTGTGAAGCTCCTTCTTGGGATTTCTGTCTTTCCTCGCTTTGGCTTCTGCTCTTGGCGATTTCCATGGTTTCTTCCCACATCCACTTTGCTTCCTTCCGTTTCTCCCTCTTTGGCAGAGTCTCCTGCCACATTCCTCTTTAGCCACTTCCTTTGAGTTCGTTCTACAGTTCCCTCTGCTTCTCTGTCAATGAGATTCTCAACCTCACAAGGATTCCTTGTGTTCTCCTTGGAAGTGGTGGGTACATATTCAAGATCCTGTCTTGATTCTCCCCACGCCATCAATAGAGCCATTGCTTCTTGTTTCTTATTCTGCCTTTAGGTACTTTGGACAATAGCTTGACCCCTTCCTCCTCCTCTCTGGGGCAGCCCCTCCCTCAAATACTGGAAGGCTGCTCTCCTGTCTCCCCTGGTCCCTCTCTTCCCCAGACTAGCCAGGCCCAGTTCCTGCAACCGTTCCTCCTATGTTTGAGCCTCCAGTCCCCTCATCCTCTTTGTTGCTTTTCTCTGCATTTTATCTAACATCTTTTTTTATATTGTGACCCAAACTGGATGCAATATTCCGAGTGGTCTTTCCAAGGCGCTATAAAGTGACAGGCCCCGGTTCTCCTCAGGCTTAGGAAAGCCCTCAAGACCTGGCTCCTCCCCACCCACCCCGGGCATTGGGGGGTCAGTGAGTGGGAATCCCCCCCTGAACTTCGTTCTCTACTCCGTTGCCATTTCCTACACGGCATTAAAATAGCCAGTTTGATCCGGTGGTGAAGGCACCAGGCTAGAATGGGAGGAGAGTTCAGGCCCTGCCTCATACACGGAAACCGGATGAGTAACTTTGTCTACTGACAGGACTGTTTTTGTGGGGGGAAAGGGAGAAGGAAGGAGGGTGAGGTATGTTTTTATTTTTTTTTTGAAAACAGTTTTATTGATTTTAACAACAAACAAAAACACATAGAACATAAAAACATCATCCTTTCCTTCATAAGTTTACAGACAGTGTATCGGTTGGTTTACCACTTTTTTTGTGCATCCTTTTCATAGTCTTCATTGTAGTTATATTACATAATAGCTCATATTATCAATCAACAATTATATAGCCTGATATCATTATTAAACAATCATTTAACTATACTTTTATTAATTCATACTTTAGCGAGATAACTATAGTTTACTTAATTTATTTTATAGCAAGTCATAAAATCATACCTAGTCTATCTTAATAAAATTTTATAAAGATAATATCAAAGAAAAAAAAGAAATATATATTCATTGTTTCCTAAAATTCTAAATATTCTATTATTATATTTTATTATCTAGCCATTGATAGAAAAGGTCCCAAATTTCATAGAATTGTTTATCTTCTTGTTCTCTAATTTCAAATGTCAATCTACTCATTTCAGCACATTCCAATATTTTCTTAATAATTTCTTCCTGTGATGGTATTTTCTCACTCTTCCAGTTTTTAGCAAATACAATCCTAGCCGCTGTTAATACATTTACAATCAAATATTTCAAATTTTTATTGTATGTATCAGGTAAGATTCCCAATAAAAAAATCTCTGGTTTTAAATCTATATGTTTCTTTGTCATTTTTTCCAACCATATGCGAATTTTAGTCCAATATTTTCTAGCATCCTCACAAGTCCACCACATATGGTAATATGAGCCAGGTATCTGATGACATTTCCAGCATTTTTCAGATTTATTCTTGAACATTCTTGCTATTCTTGTCGGGGGGAAATGCCACCTGTAAAACATCTTATACAGATTTTCTTTATATGCTGTTGACATTATCATTTTATAATTTTGAGACCACAATTTTTGCCATTTCTCTAAATCAATCCCATATCCAAAATTCTTCCCCCAAACAATCATAGTTTCTTTAACTTGTTCTTCCTCTAATTTAATTTCCAGTAAATAACCATATAATTTTTTAATCACTTTTTCATCAGTACCTGTCAAAATCTTATCTAAGTCAGTCAATTTATCATAGAATCCCTCTGTTTTAGAATCTTCAACATACCTTGAGTGTATTTGCGCATATGAAAACCAATTCATCTTTATACCTTGTTCTTGCATCGTTTTAAGTTCACCCTTTTCATCCAATATTTCCCCATATCTAACTGTTTGTTCCTTCTTGTATGTTATAGGATAAGAAAAAGCTTCAATAGTTGATAACCAAACTGGGATTTTCAAATAACATTGTCTCTTAATTTTCTCCCAGTTTAACCACAAAGACTCTCGTATATAATGCCTTCTAAAATAGCCCTGCTATTTAGTTCCCTTATACCACAGAAAAGCATGCCAGCCCAGTAATAAATCATGTCCTTCTAGTGTCAACAATCTAGTCTTTATTAATGTTATCCATTCTTTGGCCCACATCAAATTTGCAGCTTGATAGTACAACTCCCAATTAGGAAGGCCAAATCCTCCTCTAGCTCTAGCATCTTGTAAAAGTTTTAATGTTATTCTCGCTTTCTTGCCTTGCCATATATACTTCAACACAATTTTATTTAAGTCTTCAAAGTAGTCTTTGCCAAGCTTAATTGGTATTGTTTGAAACAAATATAAAATTCTAGGTAAAATATTCATCTTGATTGTTGAAATTCTGCCTATTAATGACAATTGTAGGTTTTCCCATTTCTTCCAATCAAGTGCTATCTGCTGTTTGAGTTTAATATAGTTATTCTCTTTCAGTGTAGTACATCTTGACGTCAAATATATCCCCAAATACTTAACCTTATTCGTGACTTGAATTTTCAGTAGGTCTGCCAGTTCTTCTCTTTGTCTTAATAATATGTTCTTTGTCAGGATCTTTGTTTTATCTTTATTTATTTTCAAACCAGCCATCTCACCGTACGTCTCTATCTTTTCCAATAGTTTTAAAGCTGTCTCTAGAGGATCTTCCAGAATAAAAACCAAGTCATCCGCAAAGGCTTGTAGTTTAAATTCCTCCTTTTTGATTTTCATTCCTTTTATATTTTGGTCCTCTCTAATATTTCTATTCAACACTTCCAAAGTCAATACAAATAGCAAAGGTGATAATGGACATCCTTGTCTTGTGCCTTTTCTTATGTTAATAGAGTCTGTAAATTCTCCCTCTATCATTACTTTTGCTGTTTGCTTATAGTATATAGCTTCTATTGCTTGAATAAATTTTCTGGCAAAACCCATCTGTTCCAGTAATAGTAACATAAATCTCCAATTCACATTGTCAAATGCCTTTTGGGCATCTAGGAATATCAAAGCCATTTGTTTTTCAGGATGCGCCTCATAATATTCCAAAGTGTCCAGAATTACTCTCATATTGTGTTTGATTTGTCTCTTTGGGAGAAATCCATTTTGATCAGGATGAATAAAATTAAGTATTTTTTAAGCCTTTCTGCCAAAATTGAAGCAAAGATTTTATAATCTGTATTCAATAAAGAAATAGGTCTATAGTTCTTGATTTGTAATGAATCGGCCCCTTCTTTTGGAATAAGTGTAATGTAAGCTTCTGACCATGTTTTAGGTATCTTCTTATTTGACATGACTTCATTCATGACTTCTAGCAATGGAATGCTCAACGATTCTTGTAGTGTTTTATAAAATTCTGCCGGAAGCCCATCTGGACCTGGTGCTTTTCCATTATTCTGTCTGTTGAGTGCTTCGGTTAGTTCCATCATTGTTGTAGTATTTTCTAACATTTCTTCGGTCTCTTTAGGTATCTTAGGTAGGTTAGCATTTTGTAAATACTGTTTAATTTTTTCCTCATCAATATCCTCTTGTTTATATAGTT